AGACGCAGACGCGCACACACAGACACAGACGCAGACGCGCACACACACACAGACGCGCACACACACAGACGCAGACGCGCACACACACAGACACACAGACACAGACGCGCACACACACACACAGACACAGCCATGCACACCCAGACGCGCACACACACACAGACGCGCACACACACACAGACGCGCACACACACACACAGACGCGCACAGACACAGACGCAGACGCGCACACACAGACACGCACGCACACACACACACAGACACAGACACAGACGCAGATGCGCACACACAGACACGCACGCACAGATGCACGCACACACACACACAGACACAGACGCAGACGCGCACACACAGACACGCACGCACAGACGCGCGCGCACACACACACAGACATAGACGCGCGCACACAGACACAGATGCGCACGCACAGACACGCACGCACATACAGACACGCACACACACAGACGCACACTGACACACAGACAGTGTACCCCCCCTCCCACCCACCCTGTGATCCTGTCCCGGGGTCTGTATGCCTCCCTCCCCACCACCACCCCCAGCTCACCTGTTTGTTGGCCTTCAGCACGGTGCGGAGCGTGGCGATCTGCTCCCTCTTGGTGCTCAGCAGCGACTTCAGTTTCAGCACCTCGTCCACCAGGGCTTCCTTGTCCTTCTCGGCGCCGGGGGACGCCAGCTGGAGGCACGCCCGTCGCCGCGCCATCTCCACCGCTGCCTGGAGGTGCCGAATCTGGCTGCGGATGACGGCGCTGAGGCCTAGGAGGCACGTGGCGTCGCGCTGGCCCTCGGGAGAGGGCGGGGGTGTCGGGGAGTCGTCGCCTCCACTGGTGGAGCCGGAGGGCGGGCGGGTAGGCCGGAGGCCCCGGGCGTGTTCCAGGGTGACCCGGCTGGGGGTCAGGTTGTTGTGGAGGCAGACACGGTGGTAGAGAAAGGCCAACTCCTCGCTGAGGGCGGCCAGCTCCTCGTGGGCCCGGGACAGGCCGCACCGCGACTCCGAGGCCTCCCGCGAGGCATCCCTCAGCTCCCGCTGGAGCCTCCGGGCCCTGTCCCTCTCCTCGGCCCTCCGGCCCTCGCTCTCCAGGCACCGCGACTCCAGCTCAGACAGCTCGCCCCTCAGGCGGCGGATCTCGGCCACCGTCTCCCGGCACCGGGCCTCCTGGTCCTCGGCCTGGGATCTCTCCTCCAGCCTCTGCCGCAGCTCCTCAATGCTGGCCGCCAGGTTGGCTTTCTCCTCTTCCGCCTGGAAAAGCGGGGAGAAGGGGAGGGAAGTGGGGAGTGAGGGAAGGAATGGTGGGGGAATGAGGGGGAGAAATCGAGAGGGAATGGAGGGGAGGAGGAGGTGGGAAATGAGGCAGAGGAATGGGGGGAATGGGGGAGGAGGAGGGGGAGGAATGGGGGGTAAATGAGGGGGAGGAGGATGGGGGAATGGGGGAGAAGAAGTGGAGAAATGGAGGGAGGGAATGGAAGAGGAGAATGGGAGAAATGGGGGTAGGAGAAGGAGAGGAGAAATGGGGGGAGGAGATGGGGAGGAAGAGGGGGAGAAATGGAGGAGGAGAAATGGGGGGAAATGGAGGAGGAGAGAAATGGAGGGAGGAGGAGGGGGAGAAATGGGAGAAATGGTGGGAGGAGAGGAGAAATGGGGGGAGAAATTGGGGGGAGAAATGGGGGAGGAGGAGGGGGAGAAATGGGGGGAAATGGAGGAGGAGAGAAATGGGGGGGGGGGGGGGGGGAGGATGGGGGGGGGAGGGTGAGAAGGGGGGATGGAAATGTGTGGGGGAGGTGGGGCACAGGGGAAGACCAGGGAGGTCGGTCAGGCCGAGGTGTACATGCCTTGCCCCTCTGCAACACCCATTTCCTCCGATCTTGAGCCCTCACCCCCACCTCCGCTGACTGGAAGAGGGGAAAGGCAGGGGGTTAGAGCAATGCAGAAAGAGAGAGAGAGAGCGCAGTGATTGGAAGTAGGGCCTGGTGGTTCTCGTTGAGTATGTGATCCCTCATTGGGACAGTTAACCTGTGGGCAATCAATGGGCCCTTGTAGACAGACAGAGAGAAACGGGGAGGTTCAGGAGGTCTCCTCAGTCTGGGAACAGGCCTGAGCTGGCTGGTTACAGCCCATGGCACATGTAAATAAAGGACAACTTGGTGATGGGATACCAGCCTCTGTGTAGTTAGAGAGAGAGAGAGAGAGAGAGCGAGAGAGCGAGAGAGAGACAGAGAGACAGGGGGGGGAGAGGAGGAGAGAGAGAGGGGGAGAGAGAGAGAGAGCATGCAGGAGATGGAATGAATGCGAGAAAGAGGGGAGCAAGATGGTGTGCATGAGGGAGAGATCAAGACTTTGGAAACAGCGTGTGGGATTTCTCCCCTCTCCACATTATCCAGAACTCCTCCCCTTCAGCTCCCCTCCCCCCCACCCCCCCCCCCCCACCCCCCCACCTGTGCCAGCTGCTGCCGCAGTTTCTGCATCTCGGAGAGGCTGAGCTCGGTGAAGAGGTCGGAGACTAGCCCGGGAGCGGGGCGGCAGGGCAGGGGGCTCCCGGGGACAGGGGAGGGGTCCCGACTTGCCAGCGACTGCCCCAACCCCTCCGCCAGCTGGACGCCACTGTCCAGCTCCTCGGGGCCCAAGGCTCCGTCGTTCAGGGCCAGCTCCTGGAGGTGGGGGTGCAGACCACAGCTGGGCACCGCGTTGGCGTGGGCCGAGAGCTCCCGGCGCAGGGCGTTCTTCTGCTCGCGCTCCGAGCGCACGGCCTCCAGCGCCTCCTCCAGCTGCCGCTCCGTGATAGCCCGCAGCCGAGTGGCCTCCTCCAGCTGTCCCTGCAGGATCTCGATGTCCTCCTCGCGCTGCCTCAGGTCGTGCTTCAGGCCCTCGAACTCCACCTGGATGGTGCGGGAGGAATAAACCATCAACGTCAACTTACAACCTGCGCTGTCAGGGGGTCAGCGCTGAGGGAGCGGGCGCTGTCGGAGGGTCAGTGCTGGGGGAGCGGGCGCTGTCGGAGGGT